CTTTGCTCCTCATACCCAAAATTTTGGCCTGGCCAGAGGCCCCCTGTGTGACACTATCTCACTGACAAGCAGGAACTCTGGGCACCAAGACAGTATCTCTGAGAATAAAGAGAGCTGTAGATCCCCAGGGTGCCAATATTCTCCCCCTTTCGGAGTTGAAGCAAACTTGCCCAAAGGGCATGTAGACATCTTGTTCAAGGTCATAAAGTTTCTAAGTAGTAGAAAAGGAATTTGAACCTAGCTGGACTGATTTCAACCCTGAGTCCTTACTATGAAAGTATACTTGCATGATTGAGATTTTCAAGTTCTTCTGATGAATCTGTCTAAATTTGAGTCCATGGTCCATCATTATAATCATTACCAACAACCTCATCTCCCTTGCTTCTATTTCACTCCTGGCAAAACCCGAGTTGGGATCAGCTCAATCACTTGCCTTCTCTGGCCTTGAGCAGCTGTGCATGAATGCAGCTGGGGAAAATCACTTAACAGACATACTGATTTTACTTTAAATATTTGACTTTAAGCCTCAAATGTCCAACTGCTGGCAACAGCACTACATTTCCTAATGATCTGGCTTTCCCAGATCCCAAGGCAACAATTTACAACCACCTTCTCTTTCCCCCAAATCCAAGTAAATGTCCCTCCCTGTCTTAGTATTATTTAACTTATATCACATATCCTGATCAAGGAAAATGAGAGAAGGCAGGCCAGCTGGAGGAAGCCTCTCAGAGATTGTGTTATCTTTCACTATGCACTGTGCCATTGTTCAGGATTTATTTTGCTCTGGAATGAGCTTGTTGTGACCTTTACAGGTAAAAAGCTTTATGTTAATTCATTTTGTTATTGAGCTGTATCTATCTTAGTTTAGTCTTTTCTGTTCAGCTGGACATTACTGCTTCTCCTCTCTGTCCTATTCAGGGAAGGAGTTTTTCACCTACATCACTTAAGCTGAGTCCACAATTTCAAGAAATGAAATATTAATTCTGAGTTTTGCCAAGGCAAGTATATGCAGCTTCTGCAATGGGACTGCAGGACTGCTGAATGAAACACCACTTGCTCCTGGATTTCAAGTGCAACTATAAACTTCTCAACAGCCTTTCATGCACGAGGGCAACAGAAGGTGCCCTCAGAAGTGAGAAGGGGGTCTGAAGAAGCACTGCGGTATGTTCTGTCATAGACACAGAGCAGAAAAGGAGAGGAGAAAGATGAAGAATAGAGTGGGAAATATTTTGACTGAGAGCTACTCACAAAGGGAGTCAGAACAAGGCAGAGAACGCATTACAGATCAGTTTGGGAAAGTCACCTTAGAGCAACAAATGTAAAGATATGAGTTTCAATTTAAGATATTAACCTAGAGACATACACACCACATGGACTCCTACAGCTCAATCTATACTATCATTTCTAGAAACAACTGAGGCATAGAATCACTTCAGTACACTTGAGTATTTTCAGAAAGAATTATCTAGGGAGAAAGACACACATTTATGGAGCCATCAAGGTAAGTCTAGACTAACTTATCAAGTGAAAGTAATTCATCCTTCCATATGCCTTTCAATGTTCTTGATATATTCTGACATTAGAGTATGTAAAGTTATACACTTAAAAATTGAACACATGTAATATTCTACCTGAACATTACTTTCTTATACAAATGAGCACCTTCTGGCACACTCCAGGAAACTGGCTGCATGGCAACCCTGCTAAATTTGTTCTTAACATTTTTCTTCTACTTACGTGTGCAGTCATGCAAAGGGAAGCATATATTAAAAGTCTTTCCATTCATCATTTATTTGCTTATTAATTTATTGGGAAATTAAATTTTGTTTTCATAACAATTCCTCATGTGGAAATACTGGCTTGTAGAACGTGACCTCCAGAGATTGATGTTTCTTCATTATGAGCAAATAAACTGTTCCCTTACATGAGAGCAGTAGTGAAGGAATCTGGTTAAAGGAAGATTTCTAAAAATAAGAGAATTCATTCTATACATATGGGCAGATTTTGAAAAATTTGAAAGTTCTAAAGACACTGACACTAAAATCATATTTATTTTAGAAAATTCAATCTCCTGTTAGTGCTGTCAAAGATATTTTAGGATGCTACATTGCTATCATTGAAAACAGTGGTCATTAGACCTCCTCTGTTGGAGCAGCAGGTTAAAGTACAGCACTAAGAAGCGAAAGCCACTTCCGCTTGAGTTCCATCCCCGACCCCAGAGGTGACCCACATGGCACAGTAGCCCTCTTCTGACCGGCCTGCTGCTGCTCTCAGCAGTGTACTTTTTTTTTTTATTTTTACAAATTTTTGTGCATTTTCCATCTCAGTTGCAGTCCCCTTGGGTTTCCCATCACCAAATTCAGCAGTGTACTTTATCAACCTGCCTGTTCTGCTCCCCACTCTGTCTCTGGTGAATCCTCTCGCTGCCCTGCACCTCTGGCCTGTACCCCAGTTCTGTATGCATAAATAAATAGTGGTCACCTAGGTGTCTACCCAAAAGACAAAAAAACACTGATTCAAAAAGATACCTGCACCCCCATGTTTATTGCTGGTTTATTCACAATTGGAAAGACATGAAAACCACCCAAATGCCCAAAAGTGGATGACTGGATTAAAAAGATCTGGTACATATACACAATGGAATATTAATCAGCAACCAAAAAAAAAGAAATGCATGTCTTTTGCAGCAACATGGATGGAATTTGGAAAGATCATGCTTAGTGAAATAAGCCAGAAAGAAAAGGAAAAATACCAGATGTTTTCTCTCATAGCAGGAATATAATGGAACAGGCGAGGAAATAATCATAATGATGAACAGCTATCTACCAGAGACATTTTGTGGGGGTGGAGTGGGGAATGGGATCAAAAACAGTGGGGGGAGGGAAATGCACTGGAATATGGTGATGGCACGTGGGTGATTTGGTGATGGGAAACCCAAGGGGACTGCAACTGAGATGGAAAAATGCACAAAAATAGGTAAAAATAAACTATAATAATAATAAAAAAAAGAAAGCAAAAAAAAATAGTGGTCATCATTATAGTATGTATATTTTGAAGTATTGGTTATAGTAGCTGACTCAATGAAATGTGAGATAAACTAGCACTTATTCTATTACTCTACCATACAAGAACTCATTCATAGACTAAGCATGGATATAATTTTGCAAGTACTATAAACATTTTAACATGCTTGATTAGAGACACTGTGACTTGGAGCCTTTCCTTCTTACTCAAATAGAAATAAGCCTAGACATACAAAAATTCCTTTTAATAAAATACTAAAATTAAGGATGATTAAATGCCAAATGAGATGGACACCATTTGCATAAACACAATAAAGCCCGAGATTTCATAGTTTCTTTACCTCTTGAAAACAAAAACTTGCCTTACTCGATCCAACTTACATTTTAAAAAATAAGAGATACAAAAGTCTAGGTCAATATAGTGAATCAATAAATTTCAGCTGATTTTCATGGACATCTGAATTTTGCACAGTACATGTCTCTGCTGAAATGCAGATTTGCAGGGCTGCTTTCTTTCTCGGGGTCCTTAGGGGCTGCCTATGCTCCAGGCATATGCCCCCTTCCTTCATCTTCATGGAAACTAACACAGTCCCATGTGGGGTCAGAATGTGGGCATGTCTGCTCAGTGCAGTACGCCAGGCTTAGAGCTAAGCCTGCAGTGTTCAAATCAAGTAATGTTCACAGAGCAAATGAAAATTCTCTAATACTATGGCCATAACAATAATAAACAACACTACTGGGAAGAGGAATACACATAAAAAGGAACAAAGGCTTTAAACTTTGATCAGGTTACCAAGTCTCTCAATAAAAACATCAAATTTTCCAGCCTCTAACTTACTTCGAATCAATTTTGCACAAGTTAAACACCGATTACTTTGCTACTTTATCCTCTCAAATCAGTCACAACTCAGCACACTGTAGATTGTACACTGATAAAACGCATTAAGTTCTCTTAAGACAATATAACATATATTACTTACTACATTTGCTATGGGAATTTTCTTTACCCTGAGGACAGTAGTTAGATTACAACAAAATTTTCAGGAGGAAATACTCTCTCACAAACATTGAGTTCACACACACCTTGTTCACCAAGAGGGATACTGCCAGTGAGCATGGATAGTGGAGATCCACATGCTATTTTAGAAAGGATCAAATGGAGATATAGCCCAAATAGCTGCACCCAGTTCACACAGCTAACCCAAGATAAAGCCTTCTCCCGACACTAGGTGTGCACTGTTCTTGAATCGGGACTGTACCCACCTGACACATAAATAGAATCAACTACAGTTCTTACCATGTTATCACCTTGTAAACCAACACCTTTAGCAATTCGCACCTCAATGATGACAATGTTTAATTTTATCATTCCATCCTATAATGACACGGAGACTAATTCAAGATCACACTATGCTCAGATCAGTGTAAGTCAAAAGATTTATAAATATACTTCACCGGGAGACACAGCTTACAAATAGGAGGTGCTAGCTGGTTGGCAACATGATGCAGGACTTTGAGCTAAATGAATGTCGCAGATAATTTTCACAAGCCAAAGAAAATCTTGAAAGCATTTAACTTTTCCCTGATAGAACACTTTCTTCTTGGTAGATTGAGAATTGGGTAAGTAGTTTCTAAATGGATTTTCTGGGAGAAAAAAAAGGGGTTTAGAATCTATGCCTTAGCGAGACACCATTTCCTCAAGAGCATTTAGAAATTTTGTCCTTTTGCCCAGGCATTTTAATCTCTGATTATATATATATATATACATATACCAGCTCAACAAAGCTATAGACGTAGGTAATAAATTACAACTATCACTCTGGGTTTTAAACTAATTTCTTTCAAATATTAAATTTATGCAGTTTCCTTTGGATAATAGGACTGAATTCCTTTATTAAAAGTTATGGGGGAAAACCTCAAGTTATCAACATAACTTTATTTTCTTGATATCATAGAGGAGAATTAAAATCAACTTACTTGATGTAATAGGGAACTTTATTATGTGAAATGGATCTTTGCCAAGGCAGCTGGACCGAAGCTGAGGAAACAAAAGGCGGTTATTGGGAACACTGCTAACGCCACGGCCTCAGGCCTTACGGCACAGCAAGCGAAACACTTCAGAGCCAATTCCAAGTTCTGGCTTTTGAGCTGGATTCCTATAATTATGAAATCTGCTAGGCCAAACAAAGCATGGCTTTAAAGAATCATGTGAAACAAGAAACAACACAGGACCATTTCTAATGTCAACTCTACTAATTGAAACTACTGATAAAAAAAAGCTTTAAAATCAAATCTTACAGTTCATAGTCACCATAATTTAAAACTTAGTGTTATCTGAAAACTGTACTCTGTAGATTTTCAATTAAGCTAAAATAAAACTTAAGTTTACCTGGTATATGCAGACTATTAAGTAGATTTCTCAAAACCACATATTTCATGTCAGTAATAACATTTTTTACTTTGCTTCATATTCACAGGAATAACTATTTCACACAAATGACTTTCAGAAAAACTCAATTAACTGAAGTTAAAAAGAGGGGAATTAAAACAAACATGGGCAAAAATTTGTAAAGAACCAAGGCAATTATCTGGACAGAAGAATGCCAAATGCTTTCATATAAAATAAGTAAAAAATATTTTCTTGCTTTTACACTAGGGGATCACTGTGATTGAGATTTTATGTTTTGTTTATATGGAACTTATTTTTAACTATTCCAGTTATCCTTTATTTATAAAAGTATATTATTGCTACATTAAACCAATTACTTTAACTCTTACTTAAGAAGAGTATATAGATGAATCTAGAGCTATTAAGTAATTTTGCTAAGGGAACTAAAAACAAATTCAAATAAAACTATACAGTTGTCCCCAATGATTTTTCTTCTTAATTTCTGGTTATATTCCAAATATATAGCATTCTGAAGTAGAGCATTTTCAAATACATCTATTTATGTTAGTAAGGAACCAGTATGGTTCATGTAAAATAAAGTTCATACAACAGATGAGGAGTTAAATACTCAAAGGTGAACTTAAATTCTCCTATGAATTGAAGCCTGAGTGCTGGAGGCACAGAGCCGGAGGTGATGGACTTCTTGAAATTGTGAAAGAAAAAAAAAAAAAAGCCTAATCTTGAGTTAAGGTAAAAAAGATTACTATCCTTGACAGAAGATTAGAGAAAATATAACTACAATCAGCCATGGGAAGGCATGGTATTAGTACAGTTTTAAACTACTTTTCTGTAATGATAGATACAAAGGAGTTATCATGATTGGGAAACATGCTTTACCTTAAGTTTTAAACTTCACTCAAATGGAATTAAACGTTTTTACATCTTTGGCAAATTAAAAGGAAAGGATCTATGGATTTGTGACAAAGATTGAGTTATTTGCTTAAGAATTTGGTGTATTTTCATTTAATTTTCCAAGCAATCAGAGGAAATAGGTGTTACTACAGTATTTTTAAAATAAATAATTTTTTTAGTGATCCACAGTTGCGGTAAAAAATAGAATTACTATTTTAAACTTAATGTGGGTGCCTGGGAATCCTACAGTCTATCATTTCCTCAGCTGTATGAACTCAGTTTATTCAATATCTCATGAATAGTCCTTAAAATTAAAATGGTCAGATGGAGTATATCATATAAAAATCTAAATTAGGTTTGGCTCAACTGCAGTGTGTGGTCAAAATAAAAGCTATGTATGATCACAGAGCATCTAAAACCAAAATTGTTTTAGTCAATGATGTGTGAGAAATAACTTTTTTTTTGTCAGTGCATTAAAACTAATAATCACTTTTAAGGAGAAAAATTAACTTAAAATCTTTGAATACAAAAATGACTTATTGTACAAAAATTCATAGTTGTTGCCTATGATACAGTAATGATAACATACTGCATTATTTATCAAGACAGATGACTTAGTGAAACACCCTACCTCAAGGGATTCACTTTTTGCTTTATTTCAAAGATCTGTCATTGTGACCAGATAATTACCAATAATGTGATAACCAATAAATAATATTGCCATTAATGTCAATACCCCCTTTCCTACTTTTCTTCTAATATAGACATATTGATAACAAAGAAGATGACATCTTGAGTGATTTAATATGCTGTTTCATCCAGCTAATGAGATAAGTCTAGTGTATTGGTACTTACTAGAAAGAAAATGCTGAGAGGATGGTCCAAAGTCTCGATGGGCTTCCTGAAGCTGTTTAAGGCGATCGTCCACAGACACCTGTACATATACACACAAGACAGTCATTTGATGTCACAGCAAGCCTAACAATATCTTGCTGCCAAAAAGTCTCCTAAACAATTTATATTATGAACTCATCGAATTCTCACAGCAACCACATCAGATAAGCCTTATTTAGCATTACCACCATTTTGTGGATGAGCGTCTTGAGACAAAAAGGGTCAAGGAATATAGAGTACATGTGGCTGAGCTGCTGCCAGAATCTATGCCTAGACCACTCCTCTTGTTGCCACAAAAGCTGTAAAGAACAGAAGTCAAAACCCGAAGTCTTGACCTGAAGTCAAAATGCGGGCTTCGGGCCAACGGCTGCTCATCTCTCATTTGAAAGGAAGGAGGGACACTATACTACAGAGAACAAATGAAAATTAGTGTAAAAGATATCAAAGAAAAAAAATTAATAGATTGATGAAGACATATAAATGAACAGACAGATGAAAGACATATGAGTATGGAATGTCTTAATTTCCTTGAAGTTATGAACAGTCATCTCAATTTGGGGATAGTCAAGAGTATGCCATCAGGTTGACAACATTCTCTACATGCAATTCTACAATTAGCTGTCTGTAATAATATAACAGTGCAAAATGTCATTACACTGAGAAGCTAACTGCAAATCAGTAACAACTGAACGTGGTCTCCTGACATCTCCATTTGCTTCCCCAGTCTTGGTCTATGCAGTGTTAGTCTGCAGTTCCACTTAGCTCGCCAACCTTATTTCCACTGCCTTTTAATGAAATGTGTGCATCTCCGGCTCACTGGGCAGCTCCAGTTTCTCCTGGTTAGCTGTTTAAATTGCATTAGCAAGTGCTTCATTTGTTAAAGCCAAAAAGCATTCAAACGCAACACTCCAGTTCAGGATGACAAAAGAAGATGCCCCTCGTGAAATTTACCAATGTTGTAACCACCACAGATATACCCCCCCACGGCCCTCCGCCAGTGATTCAACCAGCAACTGACACATGAATTGTAGCAGTTACCAGGCTCTGGAATAAGGATGATAGACTACACATGTTCTCCCAAGCATAACTTTGTCCCTGACTGCTAATCTTTGAAGATGGCAATAACATAAATAGGACAGGAAGTAAATCAAGGAAGGACAGAGGGATAAGTACAGAAATATGAATTGAAGAAATGGAGCAGAAGAAAGAGCAAAGGACAAACATTGTCTTCCAGTCACTAGAAAAGCACATATGAGTTCAATAGAGTGTGATTCCTAATCCCAGGTCACACTCTCTTCAAGACAGAAGAGACTGTCTGGCACAATGCACTTATTTCCTACCTCAATTTCATGAAGAAAAGATGAACCATCTTTGTGTTTTAATGTCTGAATTAATTTAGGAAGCCTATTTGCCATAAAATACTATAATTTTAAAATGAAGTGACTTTATGTGCGACCCCAAATTGTATATTTATTAAACATGACATTTCAGGCACAAAATATAGGCAATCACTGATAAGAATCATTTTTTTCTATCATCCAATCAAATTACCCTGCTGGCTTTCAGGACTACTAATACTTCTAGGCATTGACCACTGAATGTGACAAGTTCCTGAAAGACTGTTTGACAATTATTCATGCCTAGTGTTTTCCAATGCTGACATCCAATCATGCTTCACAGGATTCTTCTGGGTTTGGCTTTAATAACTCTGAGACCAAAAAATAAGATCTAGTCATTAAAACAATGGCCTTAGGGGAGCTGGATCTAAGAGCTAAAGGTAAACCCCACAATTGTGTAAATGCAGTTTTTGGGGGGTGGAATGAACAGGATACTTAAGTTGTAAGCAATTGGAAGAAGGATGCAAATGTTCTTAAGTTTCCTAAGCAAATAAACACATAATTAAAGGGAGAAAAATTACTCCTTGTGAAACACTATTGGAAAAACATCTCTGTGACCTAGGAGAGGTGTCATTGCTATGATTTATTTGATCTCTGGTAGTTCTCTACAAACATCATATGAACAGTCCAGCAAAAAAGTACATTAAAATCCCTTTGGGGCCCTCCCTGGTGGCGCAGCAGGTTAAAGCACAGCATTAAGAAGCTAAAGCCACTGCAGCATGAGTTCAATCCCCGCCTGCCCGGGAGGTGACCACATGGCGTGGCAGACCTCTCCTGACCCGCCCGCTGCTCCCCTCAGCAGTGTACTTCGTCGATCTGCCTGTTCTGCTCCCCACTCTGTCCCTGGTGAATCCTCTCACCCTCCGCATCTCTGGCCTGTACCCCAGTTCTGTATGAGTAAATAAATAAATCTTTAAAAAAAAATCCCTTTAGTGATGGGAAACCCAAAGGGATTGCAACTGAGATGGAAAAATGCACAAAAATATGTAAAAATAAACTAATATTAAAAAAATCTCTATTCATAAATCAAAGTAACCCTTGGATTTGAGATGCAAAAGGCAAAATCTTGATGATGTCATATGCTATACATTCATCATTAAACACAGTCAATAAAGAGAAAATGGTGAGTGGTAGAACAGTGGGAGGAGTTTAAAGACCTTCTGAAGTATCAACCTCTCCCATGAAGAGGAATAAGCGCTACCTGCAAGAGTTTCCATCGCATATTGAGGTCATCCAGCTGGCGAGACATCTTCAGAGATGGGTGCAGGTCAAGTGGAGACAGCTGGCTGGATAAATCATTCACTGTTTTCACTTTTAAGTTGATTGGTGCAATTTCTTCTCTAAATGCCTAAAAGAAGGTACAAAAATGATGTCATCAGAGAAGAACAAAAGCTAATATTTTGAACTTGCCTTCAAAGAAAATGTCCATGTCAACTGAGAGCCCAGCGAGGACAGTGCCTCCTTAAGAACAGACTTGACTTCTGTCTTTAGTGACCAAGCTCGACAGCCCAAGACTCATCCTTTATAACCCTGAGAATCTAAGTAGGTGCATGAAAAGAAAAATTATATGGCAAACTTATTTAGATGATATATATTTCCTTCAAATTTTGCAATAGAATTAATTCAGTCTGGAAAATGTTGGTCATCATTATCCATTTTAGTCTTTTCAAATCTTGATTCTATCTTTAATTTTCGTTCATATTTTCCTTTCTCCAGATGACTGCCTTCAGATGAATATTTATTCACCTGGTGCAATAACTCGAATAAGTTTCCATTTAAAATTAAGTTAGAATTTTTAGGCCAGTAAAAACAATTTTCCTTACCACAAAACCCATGTCTATTACATGGTGCAGGGGTAAGGTCTGTCACTTTCAAAATCATCTATGATCACTGTCTATGGTGACAGGTGGGCAGGAAGGAGGGTCTAGAAAAAAAGGAAATGAATGGACAGAATACTATTCCTGCTGACAAGTCATAAGGGGGTTGGGAGTGTGGGGAAATGGATGTGAAGGGAAGGAAATAAAAACAAAAAAAATCAGCTTGAGCCAAAAACAGCAACATGTCTCACAGGAGCAGTCATTACAGTGAAAACACTGTTTGCTCCATTCTCCATGTAATTCTACCTGCACATTGATCCATGTTCCATGTTTCAAAGTCTTTGCCTAGATCCCAGGGATACTTTGAGTTAACTCAGGCATCCCACCTGTTCGTCTCACTTCAGGGACCATTTCCTGGAGGCCGTTCCCACAGTGGACTTAGTCGGAGACCACTGTGTGCCACCCCGCATTCACTTTGCCATTGCCAGTTCAATCAGGACTTTCTATCAGCCCTGGTCTGGACTCACTCATCATAATTTACAGTAGGGCCCATTTTAATTGGTGCCATACAAACCAGTTGTGATAGGTTGCAAACATCATGGCTTATCAGAGTGTGGGATTTTATGCAAGTATATTCTGGCTGCTGCATACAAACTTAGGAACAGATGCTTCCCAGTATTCAGCACAAAGTTGGCAATACAACAGGACAGATTTCTATTAATAAAGCCCCGAGGATTATATTTGAGCCCAGGTTAAGACAATATACAACTGGGAACAGAACTGGTGAGCTGGAAGAGAATATGTACTTAGTTCTTTGGTATGTCAAAATTAGAGTTACTTGTATAATAAACTGAATTGACAGGTATTAGGTTTTGTGAGCATACTATTAGATCAATTCTCAGGTTTTATCATTTCTAGAATCCCCATCCCTTAAGATAGTCAGCATATATGTATGAGCCCCCTTTCTTTCCCTTTTCCATCACAGCAAATTTACTAAGTGAAATAACATATCAAAGTAATTTTAAAAGTACGACATTTTATTAAAATACTGCTTCTTCCTTATGTTTCTCATAGAAAGCTCCTTCAATGGTATGGTGAAGGGTAATAGGAACTTTCAGCAATGAATTTAGTGTAGTATGTTGATTCTCAATGAAGAACAAATGAAATGTATATAATGTCAACATACAGTGTTACTTCAATAAAAATATTTTTAATCAAAAGCATCTTGAACCTTCTCTCTTTCTTCTAAAACTTTTCTATTCTATACAACTGTCCCTTAAATAACATATATAGGCTAAACATAATCACTATGGTAGATAAACATCAAAAGTGTATTAAGAAAATAACTTTTTAAAAGAAAATGAATTTTAGGTCATTCAAAACATATGAATGAGTGTTTCAATATTCCCAAAGTCACACAAAGCAGTTCAAAGTTTTGAATCAGAAGACTAGGTCTAGAGCCCAGAGTCAAAGTGAAAAATCTGGACACTGGAGGAAACAGTGTGTATGTGATTGAAGTGGTGAACATGGAAGCCAAAATGCACGACTAAGAAATTCTTCCAGGACCCAGAAAACATCATTTCAAAGTCGGAGAGAGAAAGGGACACTTACAAAGACATGCAAATCACCACACAAGGGAAAGCAAAGAGGTTTATAGTTACAACCACTCTTTCTCCATGGCTGTAGATGGTCAGTCTTCATGATTGACAGATTGTGTACATACAGAGAGATGAACAAACACAACTTAATGGGAAAACCACTTAGATGACAGCACAGGTATGACAGTCTGTATTTAATAATTAAGATGGAAGCAAGGGGCCAAGAAAAGTGTGAGTTAGTTTGGGCAAAAAGGAACTGTTCAGCTTGGACTCTGAAGCACTCTGGTTTTCTTATTTCAGGATGAGAATAATTACAGATCTTGAATTCAAGGTGTCATCAGTTGTGATTTATCACTATACATTAATATTCTTTCCTCAGGGATCTAGAGGACTTGAGTGTGTTAATCAGCTTTTAAAATCAACAACTTTGCAAAAAAAAAAATCAACAACTTTGCATTCAGGAAGTCTGAAAGATTAAAGATGAAATACTAGAAAAAGTTCTCAGATTTATATAATTTAAATAACTAGTTTTATTTCAAAAGATGCTACAGGCTTTTTCTTTTTTAATTATAATGTTCAGACAGTTTTTTTAATCTTCTAGAACAAGAAGGGAGTTTTATTTTTTCCTCTGTAACAATAACATTTTCCTCTTACAAGCAACAGGTGCAAGCATTAAAAGAGCTTTGATGAATATGACTTTTGGACTTTGCTTTTGTTTTTGTGAACAGGTGTTTTATGGCAACAAAGGATCTTTCTATTAATAAAGTTTCTTTTGTTTTCTAGGAGCTTCCAAATTAAGGGACTTGAAATGAAGCACGTTTTAAAATGGCTTCAGATCTGTCTTGTGTTCTAGGATAAAGGGTCAATTTATCATCTTTTGCTGCACTTTGCTATGGGAGAATAAAAATCTATGTAATCTTCCTTGCTATAAAAACAGAAACATCTGCTGGTATTAAAGGTGATGACTGGCAGCCTGTTGGCAGATGTGAGTCCCAAACCTTTCTCTGCCAGAAGGTGTGTATTTTGCAAATAAGGATGATTAAGGGTAATTTTAGGGAATTAAAATTATTTGATTATGCTCAACAATTTTGTTTTCCAGTTGCTTTGACATATTTAATAACATTTATCAATAATCTGTACTTATTTTCACTCGCCTGTAGCATCAATAGAATTGGGGTATACTTCAGAGGGACAAATAAAAAAAAAATCTCAGACTTGGAACACATTTTATTTGATTTAATGAGGCTTGGGTTTTCATTTTCTTTTTTCCTACTAAGATGTTAAAATATTTTTTGTATTATTTTTGACGGTTATTTTTTTTCTCTTAAATAATAATTGTGTTTTTCCTAGATTTCCATTTGAGCAAGATCTGAACAAAAGGATTTGCATTGAAAGGTGGGCAATCTCTTTAATCAACTAGGATTAACAATTCCCTAGCTGTTAGGCCTTTATTAACCCCAGATACAACTTTTCATTTCCTCCCAGCACTATTAATCCTGTATTAAAAATCTGATACTTTTGCATACAAATAGGCAAATTCTTGCTCCAACAAAGAGGCACTTTTTGCATTCCAAAAGAACAGACTGTCTTGCAGACTACTGACTTAAAGATGATCAATTTTTAAGAACCATCTTTTAAAGTACAAGAAGTATTCAACCTAGGCTACAGGGCTATATTTTCAGTTGGTTATTTTAAACTCAGAGCATCATTGAAATGGTTTCAGGACACCAGCTCTAAGAAAAAGTTTTATTTTATTCATAGGCTTGCTGGAAAGTTGTGTATATTTAAAATCAAATGGCAGATACCAATAACTTGTAATACAATCAACTCTTTAAGCTTATGACTTAATATTCATTTTTTTAAACTTTGAATACAGATAGTTGGTGAAGGTTGTCCTTAGTTATGTTGGTGTGTAGATTTCTGCAATGAAAGAGAAGAGCAAGAGAGAAATCTCAAGAAAACTTTCCTGCTATTCACTGTGAGGGCTTGAGCAGAACCTGCGGCTTAATTATTTGTAAATTGGGCATAGTAAAAATAATTCTCAACCCTCCCTGGTGGCACAATTGGGTTGAAGCGCAGCACAGCAACTGCAGCCACATCTTCAGTGTGAGTTTGATCTCCAGCCCAGAGGGTGGTTCACCTGGTGCAGCAGACCTCTCCTGAAACTCCTGCTGCTCCCTCCCACTGCTCCCCTCAGCAGTGTACTTCCTCAGCCTGTTCTGTTCCCCACTCTGTCTCTGGTGAAGCCTCTCACAGCTCTTACATCTCTGGCCTGCACCCCAGTTCTATATGCATACATAAGTAAATAAATATTAAAAAAATTATTCTCTTGTTAGGTTGGTGCAGAGATTAACAGAGAAGTTCATGTGAACTGGCTAAGAATGATTGTTAGTTATTATTACTCTGATATCTACACAGACATAAATTTATATACATGATTTGCCTAAATATTTGTAGTCTTATTAGTCTTTTCTTCTTTTTCTGTTCAGTCACATGCATACAAAGGGGGAATATTTTCATGCACAAAACAACTGTCCTTTGTAATTGAAAACCTATTAATGACAGATACTGTCTGATTTTTTTTCCATAGGTTTTTCTTTGATTTAATTCATGACTACCTAGTATTTAGCTTACCATGTTAAAACAAAACTTGTCATGCAATAAACTTTTTATTTGTGTCTATTTCCAGCCCCCTGGATATGTTGTAGAATGTGGGAATTAAAAGTGAGTATCCTACCTGAGCAATTCCTGACTACAAGCAGAATTTCTAGATAAATTAATGTTTTGTTAATATACTCCAATAATGGAATGAAAGTGTGGTGAGATTTCCCAGTAAAATGGTGTGGTTTTCATCAAATCTCTGCATCCAATTATCAATTTACAGAAAATACAGTCTAGTAAAACTGCCAAACTATGCCAGGTGGATGTCATTCCATCCAGGCTGTGAGAAACGCTACAAAACAAAGAATGTAGTGTGTTCAACAAAAATATCTCAAAGAAAACAAACACAGGGTAGAGGGAAAAAATCTGGAAATTAAGAGAAACTTTAAAATATTTCAAAAGCAAATAAAACAAACCTATACTGTTTAGGGACTCAATTACATGAAAAATTATGAAGAAAAATAACATCAAATTATTGTAAAAGTGATAGTCATCCTTTTCCAAAGGAAGAAATTCTGATGCTAAAATTTGGAAAAATTCTGCATTTGATTTGGGTGGGATAGTAAGGAGTTGGCAATTTATACATGCGGCTCTCTGTATTTATGTTATAGTTTACCATAAATCACACACATCATGAAAGACTTGTCAAATTCACAGCATATACAACACCAAGGATGAACCTGAAAGTAATCTGTGAACTCTGAGTACCAATACCGTATGAATGCAGCTTCATCGATTGCAACACGGTACCACCGTGGGGAGGGATGCTTAACATGGAGTTGCTACGCTGTGCAAGGACACAAGCCCTATGGGACATTTCTTTCCCTTCTTTTCAGTTTTCCCTTCTTTCCCTTCCCTTAAAGTTTCTCTAGAAAGTAGTCGATTAAAAAAGAGGCTAAAAAGTAGGAGGTGATCCCATAAATGAAATAAAAATGGAAATAGCATATAGAAGAAGACAAAGAAAGATGTTAAAACCACCTCAGAGACTTTCTCTAAGGCAGTGATGCTGACCGTGGTTTTCTCAATGTGATCCTGCAGCGCGTCAATGAGCAAATCCCCCACAGGCTTCCACCCGTTCCGCACAGCCTCTGCTTCCTTCAGGTCAGCGTCCAGGTCGTCCATGGCACCCTGAAGGTCTCTGAGCTTCTCCAGAGCCTTGTCCACTTGCTTTTGCCAGTTGCTAGTAACAGCATTAAGACTTTCCCACTTCTCTTTGACTTCAGAAGACTGTTTGCGCATGGCTTTGGCAATCTTTTGGGCTCTCTCCTCAGGAGTCAACTCTGTGATTTAAATAAAAGGCATATTTGGTTGAGGCCTAGCCAACTGTAGTCTTTTTCTTTTATTTATAATTTCTTTACTTGCATTAAATTTTACATCAGATGTAGCCCCCACAGAATTCCCACCACCAACTCACTCGTGCACCAGCACCTCAATCTCTTGTGCGCCTCCTGCAGGTATTTTTGTATCTTCTCCCTCCCTTCTTTGCAAAATGACTCTGAATTATAGCTATCTTCATTGTTTAGTTTTGATGTATTTTTTTTTTAATAGATGTTATTTTTTCCTTTAATTCCTTATTTGGTTCCTCTATATTCTTCCTATAAGTGAAACCATTTTCTTTTTTCCTTCTGACTTATTTCACTGAGCATAATAATTTAGTGAATTAATTCAAAAGGACACATGCACCCCCATGTTTACTGCAGCACTATTTATAATAGGTAAGACTTGGAAACAACCCAAATGCCCAAAAACAGATACCTGGATCAGGAAGATGTGGTATATATCCACAGTGGAATACTATTAAGCAATCAAAAGTGATACACTAGCTAATGCTATTCAAGGCAACTCTACAATCTTATTCGCCAACTAAGAATACCACTGTTCAACAGGTTGCTACCCCAGAAGCTAACCAGAGTAAAAAATATTTCCCCAACTTCCTTCCCAATTCTCTGCTACTTTTTAAAATTAGAAAATAGTTCTTCAGCATTAATAAGTGACCCAGTAGTTTGGGTGACTTGTGAATTTTAATGTATGGGTAAATCTTGATATAAATCAAGGAAAATGAAGAAATAAAATAATTTTTCTTTAATATAAATTTAGTTTTGTAAAATCCAGAGACAGTTTTTCACTTACTGTGCTCAAGAGAAATGGAGAACAATTAGGATAAACAGCTTTAAGGTGTGAGAAAAAAAAAAAGATTAATTTACTGTGTTCCTTAAAAAGAAAACTAACAAGCTGAAGATAAATACTATAGCTTAGATACGTCATCATTTCTGAACCTGGAAGTTCATTGCTAAGATGGTATATTTTCTGCTGCATGTCCTCAAACACTTCTGCAGGAAGACAGCAGGGTTGTTCAAGGACTATCCTCCAGAGAGAGTGAGGGGGCTTCCAGAATGACTGGTATATCGTCCAAGTTTCAACTGGAAAGGACAGGCTAAACATAAGGTCTGCCACAAGACAGAGTTAATGAGAGACAGTAACTGTCTAGAAGATAAAATAAGGATATGGACAGAACATTAATCCAATGTGAACCAAGGATGAGAAATGCAGACTGGAGAAGCAGCAATCCAGGACAATGGTCTTGACAGACAGAAAGTGGACAATGCCCAAGCAGGCTAGATGGATCTCCAGCTCAACAGTGTTGGCTCTCAGTACTAAGGACCCCGCATTTCCTATCCATTTGGCTTGAAGACAGTGCATGTGACAGAGCATGGAAACAGAAAGGCAGTAAAGAAACATCAATCAAGGTAAACGGTAGTTAAAATAGAAATGCATGTTCTTCCCTGTGATGGCATCTCCATATTTTAGTATCAATCCCACTAGCAACACTCACTTCACCTCAAATCAAACATATATAAAGGTTATGAAATAAGCTCATTGAACTTTCTGGAAAGATGAATTTCATGATAAATGATCTGTGTCAAGATCTCCTAAATAGTAACTTCCACACACAACATACATTTATCTCACTATCTGTCTTTATTTAACTATTCTTGAAGAGTCATCTTGAACAGCAGAACAGTTATTTTTGTCTATCTGAATTTCCAGGATATTCTAGACATCAATGTTTAGACTTAAAGGCAGTTATATATATATAAAACCCTCTGAGAAACAAGTGGACTGTGAAGAGGTTGGCAAACAGAACTCTCATTTGGACTGTTGAAGGGTGTAGAGAGACTTGGATGATCCCTTGGCAACTGAATAAATTACATCTGTTACTCTAGAGAGACACAGTAAAAGATACACTAGTAAAAGATAAATAAGGAAAATAAGTTAATTAGTGACCCAGCTTCAAGGACTGTGATAGATGGGTCACTTCAGGACAAGTCAGGAAAAGCATGCAAGAAGCCCAGAGAGAAAGTCTGGGACACAGTCAGGCCTCCCAAATCCTGAGATGCAACCTGACTTCATCTAAACAAAGTGGGAAAGACAGACTTTATTTAAACCCTTATGCCTTCCAGATATTACATAGTGAATAGAAAAAATTCTACAGATAGTTTATATAAACATAAAATGTCATGTGTGAGATGAAAAAAAAATCATTCTTAATAGCCTGAGGAGAAAAGCAATTGTGCTTATTTATGTTGGCAATACCTATTTGTTTATGAATCACCTGGACTTTTTTAAAGCTATATTTGAAGCAATCATATTTCACTGATCTACAGAAAAAAGTACAGTAAACCAATTTCAGAACAGACAACTTCATTGTGACGTTTCTCTAGGACAGTGTAAAGCCAGGTCCTGAGTCAGTCGCTAAATAACATGCATGGAGGCACACAGGTCTTGTCCTGGGACCACAATGACCCTGGCAGCAGGTCTCCCTCTTCACTTAACATAAACCCTTTGATGGAGCAGTCCTTTCATAGGATTTCCTACATAATTCCCACTCAAGGAGCTATTAAGGAGAACAGCTCCACACTCAGCAACTCACCACCTGCCCTCCAGAAAGAAACATTACCAATCAAAGTGGGGGAAAGAGCTCCTACTACATCATCTCACGTTCACACAGACTTTTAAACCAAGCACAGGGTGCTCTGCACCATGAGTGTTTGTGGAACAGGTAATAAGAAGCAACAAGAGATATCTACTTGTGAAAATCTGGGGTAAGAAAACAGGAAAACAAGTTCCAATAACAGAAAAGATCAAAAGAAGAGAAAATAATTACATTAAAAATCCTTTCCTTATGTCAAGGATAAATTTTGCTCTGAATCTGCTGACTGGATGTTTTGTAAATTCTAAGATCCTCTTCCTAGGAAGGCAGAATCTTCTAGGCTAATGAAATTACTCTAAAGAATTGCTGAACCCCAGGGACCAACCCCAAAACATGAAGGTTCTGATTTTGCTGGTCAAGGGATTCTGCCAGTGGGGATGTCTTCAAGCTCCTCAGGTGACCACAGTGCACTGGGGGGTTGAGGAGTGGGAACACGATCACCTTCCTATTGCCCTACACAGTGATTATTTCAGGTCCCTGCTGCTGAGGCTCAGAGTATTTCCACTGTGGTGGGTTGCTCACTCCCACACAGAGAGGAACCACTAAGTACTGAAGGCCAGAGAGCAAACTAAGCTGAGTGATAAGAGGGTAATTGAGTTTGCATTTGAAAAGGGAGTAAGAGGCTAATTGGAGAAGACAGGAAAACAGCAGGCTAAATCCAAATATATCTAGGGACAATCCTCTGGCCAGAACTCTTTCCTACTCCCTGCTTTGAGAGAGAGAGAGAGAGAGAGAGAGAAAGAGGAAATTTTCTGGGTTAGTTCTTTTTCACTTTCCTCTCCCTTCAGACTTTCCCATTTAACTAAGGGGGGAAATACACACACACACACACACA